CCCGACTGAGGGGGCAGCGTCAATGAATAAATTAATATTCACCGGGGAAGAATTTAGGTCGCTATAGAAAAAGGAACAGCCGTTCCATTGCTTAAGGAAGGAGATCCATAAGCTTAGTTTATTGCGACTGGGTTTAGGAAGATATATGGTATCTTCTAAACCGGGGACCGAGGAGGAGAGCTGAAGGAGGTGAGTAATAAACGGGCGGCCTTGGGGAATTATGCGCATCGCGAAATTGAAATGCCCCAGAATAGATAGCAGTTCGCGTTTGGTGCATGATTGTTTCTCGAGGAAAATTTGAGATAGATTATACGGTCGATCTTTCCTTTGGGAAGGGATGCTTGAAATTTATTCGAATCTAAGTTGATGCCCAGAAATTCTATGGAAGTGCTGGGACCGGCTGTTTTCTCCTCTGCGAGGGGGATGCCTAGATTTTCGAAAACCTTTTGGGTGATCGATAGGTGTTTAGCTGGAGGTGAAGAAGGTGGTGAAATAAGGAGAAAATCATCGAGGAGATGGATGATATGCGGGATTTCGTAGTTATTAGATAAAATCCAGCATAATGCTTCTGAAAGCATATAGAAATTTTAGGACTACTTTTGCAGCCGAAAGTTTATCGGACTGCAAAGTAAAATTGTGAGCGCCAATGAATGCCAAAAGGTGCCAGAAGTCTGGGTGAATTGGCATGATTTTAAAGGCGGATGAAATGTCAATTTTTTGCAAGCCAAGCATTGCGACCGGCTAAACTGATGAGCGAAATTGCTTGGTCTATATCATGATAATTCAGCGAGTATTCGTCTGATGGAATGGTGCTGTTAATGCTAGGAATATAGAATTGTGAGGAGCGGAGACCATTAATCAAGGTTTTTTGCTAGAGAATTCTCAAGACGCAATGTCAATGGGACTAATACAAGAACGCTGAACAGTGGGGCAAGAATGGTACTATCATAAATTTATTATCGATTCCTTTTTGATTAACGAATCCACTGTTGCAGGTTCGGTAGTCGCAGATTGTAGATTGGAGCAGAATAAGGTTAAGGAAGGGAGAGCTGAAACGCCCGGGTTAGATCCTTGGGTTAGACCTGAATTCAGAAGTTAGTATCTGGGTGACATGCAATTCAAGCAATTTGAGAAATATGGCATCAAGGATGTGAGCTATGTGAGTGGAAATGCATCCTTTATGTAGAGTGTGATTGTATTTGAAGTGCATATAAAATGTAATGGGTTGGATGAGGGTCAGGTTCTGCAGCCAAATGTCATGGTCTTTTTATTAATGCATGGTCTGATAGCTTGATGTCGCTACGTGCAAGGATGGTAGAGGTGAGCATTCATCTCCCCTCAGAATGGCAAATGGATGGAGAGCAGAGGATAAGGGGTATGGTTTGTCTGGTGGTCTTGGAAGTGTTTATGGAAGATCCGTTGTCAGAAATGTCCTCCTATTCATAGCAGCCAAACAGGAAGTATAATTTATTATTTTATAATTTTATACCTTTTTTTACTTTTTATTTTTTTATTTATTTATTTATTTATACTTTTTTTCAATTGCTAACATCAAACTCTGAACTCTATAAGACTTCAAGGGCGATGTCACCACTTAGTAAAACTGTGAATGGAATGTTAGTAATTGGCTTTACTTTAATCCATAAATAATATTGTTGGTACCTTAACTTCATTCACAAGCGTGTCTGGCCCAAATTCATTCATAAGACTTGCAACAGAGTCAAGAGGGAGGGCGGGACCTTCTCCAGAGAGCTTATTGGATGGTGACGCTTCTCCTTACAGCTATTGGCTTAAAGGAGAGCCTGTCAAGCGTGCCAAAGGTGAAAAAGCCCGGCGGCCATTTTGTTGATCAAGTTCACCATTGTTTGACTTGAGCTGTTGCTCTGCTGAACATTCCAGCAAACAAGCTGTTAAATGTTATGGATCAGTGGACGGGCAAGAGGCAAGTATCTTTAGTTAAAATCATTGTTTATGCTAGTCTTGTTTTTCAAAAGATTTATAAATGTTTTAGTCTAAATGTTTGGTAAAGTTATTTTGCAAAGCTTCCCTTCATGTGCATAGCATGTGCACCGCTAGGAAAAAGGTAATGGTTCAGTTTCATTGCAATGGCTTTGAAGTTTTGGCTGTCATTTGCTGGAGAATAGGGTTGAAGACACAGCAGATGCGTTGAAGTGGAAGGTTTGATGTTTTGTTGAAGTTGTTGATGCAATTGTTGGAGTTGTTTTTAAGTAGTAATAGTAGTAGTTGTTGTTGTTGTTGCTGCTGCTGCTGTTGATTGTAGCTTGTAAATTATAGCTAGTAGCTTGTAGATTATAGCTGGTAATTTGTAGATGGTAGCTGGTAGATTGTAGCTGGTAGGTGGTAGATGGTAGCTGGTAGCTGCTTTGGTTGTCCATGCTGGTTTAGAGTAGGTTCTTCAACGGAGCTAGCTACGGTGAAGCTGCCTCTTCAAAACGAAGATAGTAATGGAATAAACCCCTGGGTATTTATAGTAGTTTAGGAGTCATCTGATTGGATCGTAGTGAATTAGATAATGCGGGTCAGCTGCTAGCAATCATAAGCACGTGATCCTCTCGAAATTTGTTTATACATAAACTTCACTTAAACAACAATATTTAATGATTATTAAAGCTTGTTTATTGAAACAATGTGCTTCTTGTGTGCTGTTGACTGAAAGTTGTGTTCCTGTAGAATTTGTATGATAAAAAGATTATGTGAATCAATAATCCTGCAAATGCAAGACCTCTTTAATGAAATGAACGCAGCATGCAGAGTTTTGAGCACTGGAGAGTCTGTGTTAGAAGTAGTGACTGTTTAGAGTTTTGTGTCTAGAGTTTTGAAAATTGATATTAGGAATCTTAAATTTGTGGCAAAACAATAAAAAAAACTGTAAAATGTTTATGATGGTCCAGGATCAACAATAGTGAATTTACACTATATCAAAATGTTTATGATACTCGTGAATAAACACTAGGGAACTCAAACTTTAATTAAATATCATTGCATATAGCCTAGTGGTAAAGTGTACTGGCTTATAACACTGTGTTGATTAAGGTGGCCTGAGTTTGAATCCCACCTCGTGGGCCTTGCTGATCCTTTTACTCTCACAGCTTCTTAATGTTCCTGTCTGGTCTCTACTGTCCTATGTAATACAAGTAAGGAAACTCTAAATATATTTAGAAAAATAAACTGTTTTAAAATTATTATGATGGTCCAGGATCAACTATATTGAATTTACACTGTATTTAAATCAGTACTGTTTATCGATTAAACAAATTAACTAATTAATCACACTTTTTTGCAATTAATCACAATAAATCACATATAAAAGACTGAAACTTGTCATTTTGGCTATTCAAATGTAACATTAATGTAAACGCAAGACAAAAAAAAACTATTTAAACTCAAAATATATTTGTTTACTAGAATTTTTGTTTAACTTGTAACACAGATTTCCTCATGTAAACAACATACCCACAATAAACCAGCAAGATCTCGGCTTGACAGCCATATTTATTACAGAAATAAAAACACATGCATGTTAGTGCCATGTGAATTTCAAAACAATCAATGCCAATAAAGAAAACAATGATTTCCATGTTGGATTCTAAGTGAACTGCAAAAAAATGCTAAAATAGAGGCATTGCAGATGTGGAAAATGGAAAATTATAATAATAATAAAGTATTGAATACAAACAGCCAGTTGCTAAGACAGTCCAGTCTGTTGACATTATCTGAGGACAATGAGGCCCTTTTGTTTTGAATGATGTGAGCTGAGAGTGAGAACAGTCTCTTACAATCACTGAATAAGCATATGAATTTTTGTGCGTAATTTTGTTGCCACTGGTGCTGCGAAAAGGAAGTAAGAAGCATCAAGTGGTACATCAAAGGCTCGCACTGGTACGCGTTGTATCACACCAAAGACTTCAAAGAATTCTTACATTTTTAAACATTTAAATAACTTTGAGGGATATGGACAGCAACATCGGATGTTTAGGCATTTGTTCTTGTTTCTAGGAAACGTGTGCACGCACACACACACACACACACACACACACATACACACACTCAACACAGGCAGCCGGAGCGACTCCCTTCAGATTCAATCTTACATATGTTAAGCCAGCATTTAAAGGACAGTTAACACAGAAATGAACATTTACTCATTCACTTACACACAAGTGGTTCCAAACCCTTGAATTTCTTCTGTTGAACACAAAAGAAGGTATTTTGAAAAATGTTGTAAAAAATTGGCCAAACTTTATTTTGCTGGTCAGTTTGTTGAATTTAAGTTACATTGCATCTACAGTACATGCCAACTACAGTAATTCTCAGTAGACCGTTGGGTTGGGGTAAGGGTAAGTTGACATGTACTTGCAGAGTTTCTTATAGTCAGTTAAATGTCTATTAAAGCAGCAGTATCAGCAGATATTGGGCAGACAGTCTACTAATACTCAAATGGACCATCAAAATAAAGTGGTACCGAAAAAAACCACAATAGTAGGAACGAAAAATACTATGGAAGCCAACGGCTGCTTTTTTTCAACATTCTTCAGAATATCTTCCTGTACTGACATTATTAGGACCCACTGCACATTGTAATGGAAGTCCTGATTTAAAGCTGGCAATTCTACATTTGATTGTTCTTTGATGCAGTCCTTCTTTTCAAACGGTCGATAAATTATTGTCTAACACATCAATAGATGTGAAGAAAATCCTGTTGTTTACTTCTGTGTCTGGAACAAAGTGCTGCCATGCTTCTCTTGGATGGATATAAATTACAACAGGCTGAGCTTTACTGCTGAATGAGAGACACACAAGACTTAAGTTTATTCAATTCACATTTATTGCAAGTGTTTGGCCTGCTGGGGAAATCAAGCTGAAATTGCAAAGTGGAGTGACCAATCACTGTTCTCAGTCAGAATGAGTGATCGGTCACACTACACTGTCTGGAGCGGTGATCGGTCACTCTTCTTTCTGGAGCAGTGATTAGTCACTCTGGGGATGATGAGTGGAGATTGTGAGGCAGGCCTTCTCGTCTGGAAAAGAACAGAGTCAAGAAAATCAGTGTCGATGTCTAAATGAACCTGAATTTGAGTATGAATTAACATGACCTCTGACCCACAGAGAATTCTATATAAACATATGTGTTACTAAGCTCAGCCAGATGTCATGTCACTTAAATGAGATAAATTACCTTTTAGAATGTGTCCACACTAGCTCCTGCTCCTGAAGTAGGCATAAGCAGCACAGACACCTATGCTGACTCCGACCCAGGTTGCTGGACTGCTTACCGTGGCTTTCACAGCACTTTTCACATTGTTGGAGATCCTTCTTCTCCATGAAGACTCGCTGTTCGCTCTCTCCTCTGTTTCTCCAGCTGCTTCTCTCTCTGTTTCTCCACTGGTCTTTTTCTCCTCTGTTTCTCCAGCTGCCTCTCTCTCCTCTGTTTGTCTTTGAGAGCTGCTGTCATAATCTGAGAGGACCTCAGTTGTCTTGTCTGGGCCCCACATGATGATCAGAGGTTTATTCAGTAAATGAGTGAAGTTCAGAGCTTTTTGTGCTCGCACTGCATCACGTCGATGATGGAAAGTCACAAAGGCATACACAGGAGAGACGATGTTGTTTCTGCACACTTGCACAGTCGAGATGGACCCCAATGGACCAAACTTTTCAATAAGCTGTTGTTCGGTGACCATTGGGTGCAGATTGCTCACAAGCAGTGTCTTCCGCTCAATATAGTGGTATGTGGGGAGCACAGGATGAGGTTCCTGTTCCCGTCCTGAATGCTCAAAAGTCACATAAATGGATCTGCAATTATTGTCTTCATCATAGGACAGATCCAAAGAGTGGATTTGGGTGAACTGTTTCATTGACTCAATCAGTTCTTGTACGTTCACCTTTGGGTCCAAAGTCAGAACAACCAATGACCACTCGCGATTATGGTTGTCTGAAGACTGATTTAAGTGAGCATCCATAGCGAACGAGTCCTTCACAATCACAGATTTGTCTATTCGTACAGTAGCTGTGTGATCCACCAAGTTACTGTCCTGAATGCTGGCTGATGCGCTGCTCTAGTATGGAACACTAATATAGAACACATTCTGTGACTGTCGTTGCTAAGCAACCATCAGCTGAAAGCGCATGCACACACACAGGATTCTAAATTGTTTATGAATGAATCTTAGTTTGTTAACTATAAGATAAAGTATTTATTACTATTGTTTTATCCTAAAGATGATTGTTTAATGTGCTCTTAATTATTATTCATTAGAAAAACCACCATTACTATGTTAATTGTTTTCATACAGTATGTCCTATTTAATGTAAACATCACAAATGCTTTGGAGGTACATATGTAACAATTGTCAAGCCAATAAAATAATCGGAAAACCGCACCCTCTGCATTGACTTTGTCTGTGTGTGTGTTGGTATTTTTAAAGGTTTAACATATACATCTATTGAAAATAACCAGTTTCTGTTGGTTTAGAGAAACTTTTAGCAGAAACCTTTGTCTCCTCAGCTGCTTCAGTTTATTTAACATAGGATTGAGTGTGAGACATTTTCTTATCTGAAGATATTCGGTCACAGCACTAAACCTACCTGCAAGAGTGATTTATATTTGACTGAATAGAGTTGATAAAATAATAATATTCACGAGTGTAAAACTCCTAAATTCACCTCTCACATGATATCCCTTAATAATCTTCTGAATATATACAGAAATAATAATAAAGTATGTATGTATGTATGTAAATATTATTAGTGCTGTCAATCGATTAAAAAACCTAATTAATCATGATTAATTACATTTAAAAGACTGAAACTTGTCATTTTGGCTATTCAAAAGTAAAATTAATGTAAACGCCAGACAAAAAACAATTCAAATTGTAAATATATTTGTTTAGAATTTTTAGAATTTTGTTTAACTTATAACACAGATTTCCTCATGTAAACAACATACCCACAATAAACCAGCAAGATCCCAACTTGACAGCCATATTTATTACAGAAATAAAAACACAGGCATGTTAGTGCCATGTGAATTTCAAAACATTCAATGCCAATAAAGAAAAAATTGAATTCCATATTGGATTCAAAGTGGACTGCAAAAAAAAAATATTTTGCTTAGTCCTCCTTTACATTTAGCCAGGTGCTAAGACAGTCCAGTCTGTTGACATTATCAGGGGACCTTGTGTTAATGTGGACCTTTTCTTTTGAATAATGTGAGCTGAGAGTGAGAACAGGCATGATCACAAGCAGGATCACTGAATCAGCATATGCACTTCGGTGCCTAATTTTGTTGCCACTGGTTCTGCCACAGGGATGTAAGAAGCATCAAAGGAGTACATAAAAGGCACGCACTGGAAGTATGCGTTATGTCGCACCAAAGACTAATTCTTGCAGGGACTTTAGTCACAACATTTCTAAACATTTTAACAACTTTTAGGGATATGGATGGCGAAATCTGTGTCGTTTAGGTGTTTGTTCTTTTTGCTAGGAAACGAAATAGACACAGACATACACTCACGCACACACACAACACGCCCAGGACAGCACAGCCGGAGCGACTCACTTCAGATTCAACATGCATGATCGCGTTCATCAAATTTGCTTAAACTAAGCGTTGTTAAGTCTAGCTGTAGTGAATTTACAATGTATTAAATGGTAATTGTCCACGATCAACAATATTGAATTTAAACTGTATTAAATGTTTTTAATGGTCCGGGATCAACATTTGTGAATTTACACTTTATTAAAATGATGATGGTTCAGAATGAACAACAGTGAATTTACACTGTATTAAAATGTTAATGATGGTCCAGGATCAACACTAGGCAACTTAAATTGTGAGGAAACAACCTTTTCCAGTAGCCTAGTGGTAAAGTACTGTGGCTTGTAACACTGGTCTGATCAAGGTGATTCAAGTTCGATTGCCATCCCATGTGTCTTGCTGATCTTTCCTCTCTGCTAGTTCTCAGAGTAACCCTCGTCAGTTGTCTTGTGTAATAAAAATGATCAAACTCTAAAGATATTGAGAAAAAAAAATATTAAAAAGTTTTTGTTGGTCCAGGATCAACAATAGTGAATTTACTCTGTATTAAAATGTTTATGATGGTCCAGGATCAACACTAGGGAACTCAAACTGTGATCAATAATCAATTCTAGTAGCCTAGTGGTAAAGTGCTCTCTCTTGTAATACTGACCCTCTCTCTCAGTACTCAGAACATCAATCTTCGAATGTCTTGTGTAATAAAATGATCAAACTCTAAAGATATTCAGAAAAAATATATATAAATGTTTATGGTGGTCCAGGATCAACAATAGTGAATTTACACTGTATTAAAATAATGATGGTACAGGATCAACAATACTGTATTTAAATGTTTCTGATGGTCCAGGATCACCTTTAGTGAATTTACACTGTATTAAAATAATGATGGTCCAGGATCACCTTTAGTGAATTTACACTGTATTAAAATAATGATGGTCCAGGATCCACAATACTGAATTTACACTGTGTTGAAATCTTTATGATGGTCCAGGATCAACATTGGTGAATTTAAACTATTAAATGTTTTTGATGGTCCAGGATCAACAATAGTCAATTTACGCTGTATTAAAATGTTTATGATGGTCCAGGATCACCTTTAGTGAGTTTACACAGTGTTAAATGTTTTTAATGCTCCAGGATCAACAATAGTGAATTTACACTGTATTAAAATAATGATGGTCCAGGATCAACAATACTGAATTTACACTGTATTAAATTGTTTATGATGGTCCAGGATCACCTTTAGTGAGTTTACACTGTATTAAATGTATTTAATGGTCCAGGATCAACAATAGTGAATTTACGCTGTATTAAAGTTTATGTTGGTCCAGGATCAACAATAGTGAATTTACACTGTATTAAATGTTTTTGATGGTCAAGGATCAACAATTGTGAGTTTACACAGAATTAAAATGTTTATGATGGTCAGGTATTAACATTAGTGAATTTACACTGTATTATATGTGTAGAGCATCCAACTTCCATGTGGAAGGCCGCTGGTTCGATCCCAGCTCGGAATGGGTTTGGTGGTGTAGGACTGGCGGGGTTACACTAGCCGTTTGAGCATGTGTTTGGGTCTCCATGCCTGCAGCTTCATAATGCTGGGGCTACAACGGAAGTATTGCTAAACCCAGAAGTAAGGAGATCCACAGAGTAGTGTTTTGTCATTATTACATATTTTAAATACTTTCCCATTTTATCACCAGAGTATTGTCCATGAATAAACCCAGTTTGATCAACTTCAATAATCAAAGGCAATATTTTTTTCTAATCTCAAAGCTAACACTTTAAACAGCAATTTAAAATCCTTATTGAGAAGGCTGATATGAAGAGCCCTCTTTATCTGGTTTTTTCTTTTCAAGTATGAGGCTAAAATTAGCTCTCAAAGAGATCTAGGCAAAGATTTAGTTTCAAAAGAAAAGTTTAACAGTAATTCCATTACCACCAGAGTAGCTTGAATTCTTTCCAGTATCTTGTTTTTCTAGTTTTTTTTTCTCAACTTTGTTTTTATTGATTTTAATTATAATACAAAACCCAACATACAGTACAGAATGTTAACTTGTGATATTTCAGAGTCTACTTTCCCACCCCAACATTTGTTAAATTAAAATAACATTTAAAATAAATTATAACATAAAATAATATACAATACTTTAAAAAAATACAAAAAAAAAAAAAAAAAAAAAACATATTTAAAAAAAAAAAATTTATGTGCACATATATATACACACACACACACATATATATATATATATACATACACACACACATATATATATACACATATATACACATATACATACATACACATACATACACAAAATAAATAAAATAAAAATAAAAAAAACTATTACATTGAATTTTAAATTACAGTCATCTTTCCAGAGACATCCTTTTTTTCTATCCATTTATAAAGCTACTGAAAGGGGACCACACTTTTTTAAAAGTCTCTGCTTTACCTCTGATCACGTATGTTAATTTTTCAAGAGCAAGATTATTAGACATTTCCTTTATCCATTGTGCAAGAACAGGTCTTTGGGTGTTTTTCCATACCAAAGCTATAACACGTTTAGCTTGTATAAAGCTGAAATCTATAAGTTTTTTTTTGTTTGCATTCACTGACAAATGTTCAGGATATATATGTAATAAACAAAGTTTTGGTTCCAAAGGAACACATTCACCAACCATTTCACAGACCACACCAAGCACCTCCTTCCAAAACAACTGCAGCTCTCCACAATCCCACATACAGTGAAGCAGAGTACCAATTTCATCTTTACATTTTGTGCAATAGTCTGGGTTATTCGGGTTAATCCGGTGTAATTTTACAGGTGTAATGTAAGTCCTCATCATCCATTTGTATTGTAGTATTCTACATCTGGTATTAATGGTTTGAGTTTGAGCTGAAAGACATGCATATTCCCATTCCTCAACAGTAATATCCACTTGAAGGTCTCTTTTCCATGCTGAAAGGTATGATAGGGAGTTTTCTTTAAATCTATCTAGTAATGTTTTATAAAGCAAGGATATCATTCCTCTATCATTTATGTGATTTAAAATAAGTTGTACTAATGTAGAATATTGGGGCTCCAGGTAGGTTTTAATTTTTGAATATATAAAACTTCTAATTTGAAGGTATTTAAAGAAGTGCTTATGGGGAAGATTATATTTTGAAATCAACTGTTGAAAGGTCATAACTGTACCTTCTTCGTATAGGTCTTTTACCATACTTAATCCTTTCATCTGCCAATTTTTAAACCCCATGTCATTTCTTCCAGGGATAAAACAGTTATTTCCCCATATTGGTGTAAATGGAGAGATGCATATTTCCTCATCTAAATAAAAATGTGCCTCGTGCCATACAGATAGAGTGTTTCTAAGAAAGGGATTGGGAGTGGACTTTTTAAGTTTTTTCACATCGTCAGAGTGTAGATATAACTGTATAGGAAGTAACAATTCTTCTTTTTCAATATCAACCCAGGATGGTTGGTCTGTGGAAAAATAATACATAGCAGTTCG